AGGCCAAATAACATTTTAACATCAAATCAAAAATACCCCAAAACTGAACATTAAAACTATTTTACACTATAAATTAAAGGGAAACTGACAGATTTGATCATGTATTTTAGTCAATAATGAAATATTAAATGGTTATTTATTCTGACCACATCATATTGAATTTTTGTAAAAAAAATAATAATAATTTTTTTACACCAAAATATTTTAGGGTGGCTTTAAAATATTTTAGTGGGGCTGGAGCCCCCCTAAAATAGACCTAGTGACGCCACTGAACATGTCAGGCTCAGAGTGGATGACTCATCTGGAAAACTGTTTGCTTAGCTGTGGCGGCCATCTTTAATGGAGAAGATTCTAGATTTAAACATGTTGTAGACCTGCATCCAATAACTACAGTGTTTCCTGAGTCTGGCCAGTGGTTCACCTGAATTTCCTTTTGACGAGACAATAAATTCTATTCTATTCTATTCTATTCTATTCTATTCTATTCTATTCATGAGACATTTATCTGCCTGTAGGAAGCAGCCTTCTAAAACATTCACATGAGAAGCTCCACACTGAATGAGTCGCGCATGCGCAGTGTCATCTTACAGCCCCGGAGGCTCCGCCCCTTTCAGTCAGATGTTAGCTTCTGCAGCTAGCTGTAGCTAACAGTAAACAGACATGACTGCAGAGGAAACATGGATGAATTTGAGTTTTTCACAACCGGAAACGGTAGAAATGGTCTGAAGCTGAGACAAACAGGACAGATGGAAGATAAAACGACCGTCCGGTAACTTCCTCCTGAAAGTTAGCTGAACGTTAGCTTGTTGAAGTGTGTGCGAGTTAAAGGTTCTGTTTGTGTTCTGACCCAGATATGAGTTCTGACCCAGATAACAGGCTGTTTTACACCGGAGGAGGCCGTCATGTCTCCGGAAGAAAAGAGTTCGGTTCTGAACGAGTGTCACGTTAAAGCAGAAACGGGTCAGGAGCACCACGGACCGGGTGACGGCTCGGTTCTACCGGCACCGCATCTCACGATGTGTCCCGATGGGTAAAAATGGACCTGAGAAGTGAATCAAACAGTTTATTACAAAGTCAGGTGTATAAAATAACGCGCTCACCTGTGTTTCAGACAGGACAGCTCCATCCGGTGAAGGTAATAATTCATAACAACATGTAATAAAACATGTCTCAGGGTGGTCTTTCATGKCTTCTGTACATTATTATTACACAATAAAACATATTTAAAGAACAACTCAAATATTTGTCGGTTGATTTAATTTCAATAAATGAATAAATAAATTGCAGCCAAATAACTTTAACTATTCAGCGTGCGCATGCGCATTGAGCAAGCTACGTTTGTTAGATACTGCGCATGCGCGACTCATTTTGTGAGCGACAAACCTGCAGCTTAGCGCCATTAAATGAGACTTCCGCCGAAGAGCTTTCCTACAAAAATAAAAGCACAAAACTGAACTAAATTGAGTTTTATTCTTTTTGTGACTTAAAATAAACTGTTTTACCTTTTTTAAAGCTACTGGTTTGATTCCACTGAATACTTTGTTTGAATCTCTAACAGCTCTGTGTAGAAACTTTATCATCTAACAGATAAATGTGTTGTTGTCATTATAGTTACACAATGAACATGTACAACAAAAATTTTGAGGAAAAAATTTAAATGGTAGATTCATATATGTTGTATATTTTTGTAAGAAAAATGATTATCTGTTCATAAATCTATTTTCATGACATTTTTAGATTAATGTTAATAAAAAACAATTTCATAATCCTGAGGGAAAAACATGTTTTCATTGTCTGTCCACTGATTCATAGGGTGTTAACAGACACACACAAAGATAAATATGCTGTTACTATTACCTATTTTATGATGACCATAACAATTTAAATTAAATTAAATTTAAAAAAGTTCTTGGCTTCTGTAGAAACATTTAGGACTAAACAAATAAATATAACTTTTTATTCTTGTACACCTTTATGTTGTCTGTGTAGCAAAAGTTAGATTAATTTTTAATAATAATTGACTTATTTTAGTATAAAGACTGTTTTAACACGCTTTGTATATTAAAACGTCGGGGTAGGGGCGAATAAAACCCTTTCCGTTTTATTTTGAAAATTCTCTTACCGGAAAGACTCGGGTTACTTCTGCTGCCTAAATTCTCCACGGAACCCCTTGCTACAATTAGCCTGTTATTTGGGCTAAAGTGAGCAGCTTTGGTGAAAGTCTGGACAGTTTTGTTTAAAGATAAAGGAACTTTGCTTTACTCCAAGTTKTTCCGGTCAAACTCGGCTCCGTTCGTCCCGGAGGTTCGGCTGAAGTCGGTCTCGGTGTTTCGGGGATTGTTGTTGACCGGACGGGAGCGGCTCCGAGGTGGGAACGGTTCAGACTGTAAACTTCAGTCTGAGGAGAAAATAAAAAAACATTTAACAGTTTTAATGTGCAGCAGTCTGTGTGGCAGCTTTATACAACCGGAAATGAGTCAAACTGCTCCTGCTTTTAATTATTTAAATTATATTCTGTATTCTAATTCTAACATCATTATTTTCAGTATCAAAGAGTATATTTATATTTTAGTCATCTTTTGAAACAAACTAATCGCTGATGGGTTCAAAGGACTAAATAA